TTCGCCCCACGTGGGGCGAACGTTGGATACAGGCGGCCAATGGATACAGGACTGGCCAATATAAAGTCCCCCTGCCCCACCGAATCTGCTTGGAGATTAGTAAAAGATAAGCCAGGTGGTGGTTGTACCATGCCACCTAGCAGTGCACAGCTGTACTGCAATTGCACAGGGACTGCAGCTTGAAGTAAAGAGTTTCATGCTTTTCCCACATGCTCAGTTTGCCTAGACTAATACTTTAACAGCTATGTCATGAGTCGAGGTCTCAATATGCAGTTCTACTTAATCATACTGAAAAAGCACTTAAAATGGCTATTTCTACATGTACAAATGTATGTCTTATGTTTTCTAGACTACCAGATAACTATACATTGTATGTACTATATGTGTGTGTAATGTAGTAACTGTTTTTATCTCACCAGATTTTGTTGCAATATTTTCACGTTACCAGTTCTACATGTATATTGTGTAGCCCTTTTGTATGCATAATGTTAAACTGTACATTGTGTTCAACCTTCAAGGTAAAAATGTATGTCCTATTTTGTGTATACATGTACATGTAACGTGACGTGTATGTGAAATTGCCCATTGATATGACTCACATTCAATGTTCATGTTCTTGCAAAAGTTACTGTCAGTACATGTAGTTATGCGTAAATTGGAAATTGCTAGTCCTCTACGTGTACTTTTACTTCTGGTGTTACTTATACTAAGTCCTTGTTGGTCTTTTGTCTAAAATTGTTTCTGTACAGTCCGATCTGCATTACTTTTTTTCATTTTGTCAGTTTTTAATTTCTCGTATGTTTGCAGACTCCGGCTGGGAGCTGGGGAGGAGTTTGTGCTGAGGGAGGAGGATGGCCCGTCCAAGGGTACCCCGGGGGTGGTGCTCCTGTCCCCCACCCAGGGGAGGCTGGACTTCCCCACCCTCCAGTTCATGCACAACGGGGCCACCATTGTGACCTTCACGGACGACCCCTCCAAGTCACATGTCAGCTTCCTCTCACTACTGAGGTACAGACAGAAACATTTAACGTATATTATGTCAATATGCCTTTTATGTTTATATTTCTGTAGTCAAAGATGTTAGAACAGAGTAGCATTGTTCCATAACTATCGAGCAATAACATTCATTCATTCTCTCTTGAGGAACATGAATCAACTACAGTTTTTTTATTGTATGGTGGAGTGTACATGACTTTTTTTGTGTAAGATGTGTCGGTTATAAACTATAAGGAAATGCATATAAGTTATCCTCAGTCTAGTGAGGTTCTTCTTCATAGGCCACTATTTATACCAAACAATACAGCACACAGGATCTTTCTTGTACAACAAGCATTACATGCTATTTCTGTACTGCTTTTTCTTCTGGGTGAAAACGCAATGCAGCTTAGAATGGTACTTCTCATTTTTCTAAAGCTCTTTTAACATTTATTCAGACTTCAAGAAGATTTTGATATGCAAATATCTCCCTCAGGTGCAATAGTAAGATAGTGTGGACCAAGCGTGGGAACAGTGAGGGGCCAAACCTACATTCCATTTACGTGTTCGCTGCACACTCGTACGACAGCGCAGATGAAGGCTTCCTGGACTTGTTTTGCATAAAGGACGTGGTGATGGGAAGGAAATTTGCAGACCTCGGCAGTATTATGAAGCGGCACTCCCTGTCTAACGTCACACATGAGCAGAACTGCATCTCTGTCATGTATGGGACATCACTAGCAGAAAACAGGTAACAAAATATTTTGAATACTAGTTGTAGACAAGTGTTCACTTAAAATATGTAGGGTTTAGCATGATTTGCAGCAAGTTATCTTTACCAAAAGTGAACAATCATAAACCATGTAGAATAGTTATTGAATGTACATACACTCTCACTTATAAGTATAGATTTCACGGGCTTTAGGCTTCGCCCCTAGAAAGATGCTTACAACCAGCCTTATTGAAAGAGCAAGGGGCTAGCTTCTGGTCTGAGGGCTGAGGCAGCTAAGATGCCTAGAAAAGAATTTTCGGACTTCTTCCCTTATTTGCAGGTGGAAGCATTTCATTGCCCCCGCCAGTGTGGCAGCCATCTGGTTCTCTGGTCTGAAGAAGCTGGTGCAGATAGCTGGACAGCAGAGGAAGCAGGTCGACCAGAGACTCCACTGGTTACAGAGGCAGTACCTCAGTGTCTACTACGAGGACGAAAAGTGCAAGGTAGGACACTGACCAACAGGAAATCATACACAGGCAATTAAAGACAGTAAATGAGATAACCTGGCACCTTTCTGGGACCTTTGATCTAACTTGTCCTGTACGTGTCCACGACATGCATGTGAAAAACATGACATTGTATCCTTTGTGTACCATCCTTGTCCATGGTGCTGAACAATATATCCAGTTCAGCTTTACAATCCTATAGCTTTCTTGATTGGAATAGAGAACTTTTCTTTTTAGTACGATAGAGTACTTTCTATCTTTATGCACATTTTGATATTAAGGCAAAAATGAAACCTTACCAAAATAACTAATATTCTGAAACAGGGTCCAACACCGGCTGATGCCATTGCCCTGTTTGGAGGGAGACAGTGGAACGTTGGGACGCCCGGGATTCCGGTGGTGAAGTCGCGGGAGAAGTCCCCGTATAACACCACGAGGGAAGGCTCGCCATTCCGACGGACCTCCAGCCTCAATCTCAGCCGTCACCGAGCACGATCACCTAAGCGCAAAGTGCATCTTACGACGATCAAGGACCACAGCGAGCAGAGTCCTGTGCGGACAGAGGTGTACAATGGAAACGCCACCCCTGTGGGGACTGGGTCCACCCGGCTGGACACCGGGGAGTCCCCCTCCCCCTCCCACAGCCCCCGACAACTCTCCAAGAGCTGGTACGGAAGGGAGAAGCTGAAAAAGGTGTGAATGTGATACTGCATAACCTGTTTCTCAAATGTTCTAATTATTCAGCTTGTTTTTTACACTTCTTGATTCTTTTTTGCATCCAAAAGCCCTATAGGAAAATCTGTAAGCAAAGTACAGTTATAACTGCCCCAAAAGACCACCTGGGACCAATAAAACATTAAAATCTAGACATCTGTATGGACAGGTTGCCTATATAAACAGGACTCTTATTGCTTGTGTCAGTAGTAAAAATTATGTAAGGGGCCACCAAAAAGTCTTCAGCTGTCCACAAATTTATGTAGAGGTGGTCACTTGTACAGGTTTTACAGACATTATTTGTTCAGTGGAGAATGTTTTAGCTGATACAAAATGTACATCCCCTTGCAGAAGGACTCCTCCTCCTCTGACAGTCTAAAGTACCTCCACGCCACCCACCTGAGTTATGTGGAGTTTGTGGAACTCTTCAAGTCCTTCAGCATCAGACTGAGAAAGGATCTCAAGGAGGTGGGAAAGACTACAGTAATTATTCACATTACCATACAGTATGATTCGTAGAAAAACATTGTTTCAAAGTGCCAGTACTTTTACAGATACAACATGGCACTGGTGACATGGATACTGAATTACAATGTCATATACATTATACAACCTTCAATATAAGCTCATGCATTTTATGTCCTGCCACTGGTATATATGTTTTTGTAGGATATTTTGCTGTAAGGTCTAAAAGGATAAGACCTTTTCAGTTTTTCCTATGTTGTCTGTAATTTTACTGATACATGTATGTTATTCTCATAACCTTAAATGCACTCTGAAGTAGTTGTGCAACTTCCAATTCTCTCTCTTAGTTATGGAGTTAGGTAGCAGGGCGAAGGTTAACTTACATCATTAACAAAATTTTGACATTTCTTTTATTTGTCCCCCCCTCCACCACACCAGGTGTTTGACAAGTATGCGGTGCCCTGTAAGGGTCGAGAGCTGCGGAGACTGGCCTATCACATGGGCTGTGTCACGGCAGGCAAGGAGACAGGGGACAGGGGGCCATGTGAGAAACACTTCTTCTTTCTGATGTTTGTAATTTCATCGCTCACTTGTAGCTGCTGGAACAACTGGATCTCTTAGATTAAATGTTCTTATTTGGTCTTGGTTGTCAATTTGCTAAGTAGAAAGGGGTCCAAACCTGTTTTATATGTGGACTGTCTTTGCAGAGACGACAAAATGAGACTCAACAGCTAAGATAGGCTTGGACACCAGGCTAACTTTAGTACAGTCAAACCTGTCCAAGAAGATAGAATCTGGTGTATGTGGATAGTTGGTCACTATAAACAGGATTCTTCATGCTTGAGTCAATGGGAAAATTTATCAAAAGGTGGTTACATGTAGAACTTACAATGACCAGGCGGTCTGTATGCAGACTGAAGTGGTCACATGTACACATGTACATTTGACAGTACAACATTGCCCACTTGTGAGTAAAAAAGAGGACTGTTCTTATCTTACCACAGGTAGCATCACCAGAAACACCAGCCAGAGTAAGTCTGACAGCCGTATGAAGCCCATCGTGGACGCCATCGCGGCGGGCAGCGTCATCGCCAACAGCGCCAGCGTGGAGAGCTCGCTGGACATGGCGATCGGGGTCGGCGAACTCAACGACTTCCTGGTGAACGAACAGGGACAGTACCTGACGTACCAGGAGGTCGGGAGAATCATACAGGTGAGTTTGTTGTTCTTTTGTTCTTTATATATTTATCCAGGACAAACTTATTGCCAGAAAGCACTTTTCAAAGTATTCCTGGGGGGATATCCCCACAATAAAATAATAAAACATTATTTTTTATTAACAGATAATAAAAGTAAACTAAAACAAAGCGAGAAAAGATAGATACGGTTTATATTCTTGTCAATATGTTTCAATCAATCAATATACATGTAGTTTATTTATGGAAATATGATATGAGTCAAACTAGTCATTCTAGATTGTTTCTTCTAGTGTGATGGTGATTTGTGCCAAAGGAACGGGGGCAAGAGGTTACCTTAGACTTTATCGACCAGTCAAACTGCAAATGCCAGTATGTGTTGTCCAAGAATTTTCTTTGATTTGCTGGTGCTCTTTGAATGTTACAGAGACACGAGCCAAGTGCACCGCTGAGGAAGGAGGGCTGCTTGTCGTTTGAAGGGTTTGCCAGGTTTCTGATGGACGAGACCAACAATGCTTTCTGCAGAAGTACAATCAGAGAAGAGGTAAGAGAAGAAATGTGACATATCCAGCTTAAAGTAGAGCTGAGACTTTTCTGAGACTTAACACTATGTTCACCTATTTTTGTACCATTTTCAACATGACAATGTAATGTTGCATCCTTTTAACAGGTAGTCCTATTGAGTGTGGTGATAACTTTAAAAGTTAAACTCCCATGATAAAAGGATTTTCTTTGTTGCAGGACATGGACCAGCCCCTTTCTCACTACTACATCGCTAGTTCACACAACAGCTACCTTACAGGCCACCAGCTCAGAGGAGAGTCTTCTGTGGAGCTCTATAGAGAGGTAGGGCTCCTTCTGCTGTTTTGGATGTGAACAATCTGGCACTTTATATGCAAAAGACATCCTAGTTTTTAAACATTGCTCAACAGCTCCATACTAATCTCATTGAAATACTCTGTGTCCTTTTTTCCTCATGATGGCATCAGGGTCTTTTGCATTCTGACACCATTTTGGTTATCCTCTTGGAAGTAACATGAAGCTCAGAGCCACACCTCGAGCACGTTAAAAAATCCCCCACACTCAGTGCCGTAAAGACCAGTGTGAGTGTTTCAAAGCTGTAGTCCGGTCTTAGGGCTAATATCTTGAAAAGCTGATGGTCACCTGTTATATCAATCCTTCCACAATGTGTGGTGAATCTGTAGTAAAAAAAGGAAATAAACTATGACCCCATCCCCTGCAGGTGTTGCTGACAGGTTGCCGGTGTGTGGAGCTGGACTGTTGGGACGGGGAGGACGGGAACCCCATCATCTACCACGGCCACACCCTCACCACCAAGATACCCTTCAGGGACGTGGTGGAGGCCATCAGCGACAGCGCCTTCCTGGCCTCCGACTACCCCGTCATCCTGTCCATCGAGAACCACTGCTGTCTGCAGCAGCAAGTCAAGATGGCGCACTGCTTCACGGTGAAGCCTCTGATTTCTGCTGTCATGGGTTAACTAGAAAATGGTCCAGATTCTCGTCTAGGCTCAGTCTCAGAAAGTTGGGGTTTGATTCTGGTCTTTGGTTTAAATCTGGTTTTTGCCAGTAAAAAAATTGTTTACACTGCAAACAAAATCTTTTTTTTATCAGGTACTAAATGTTGACTAAAAGTAGACCACTAGATCTGGTTGCTACATGTACATGCATGTACATAATATAAAAATTAGTAACATGAGCTGGAATAGAGATTGCAAAGTGATGCACAGCTCTATGATGAAATGTAATACACATATTCATTTTTTCTAAAAGCAACCAAATTGTACGGCATAAATGATATCGATGGTAGTCTGAAGATCTACTGCAGTAATATCATTTAGTCTATGAGGTATTATATCATGTAACCTGCTTTTTTGGCCTTCCAGAGTATACTGGGAGAGAAGCTGGTGACGAGGTTCCTGTTTGAGTCAGATGCGGTGGACGATCCTTCTCTACCCTCCCCCAACCAGCTGAAGGGGAGAATCCTGCTCAAGAACAAAACCCTCCACCCCTACCGCATCCCTGTGGACCTACTCAGACAAAAGGTCAGTACCAGGCTGTTCTTGTTACCTCTGGGTGCAGAAGTATTGTTTTGGGTGGATTTGTGTGCATGCTTGTCCATGAAGAGTAGGTTGAGGTGGGGGGAAAATTGACAGGCAGAATAACAGGTGGACAGGTGGTCAAAATGTCAGACACATAAAATCACTCTAGCCAGGAGCCAGCAGTTGACATGGGGGACTTCAGGAAGCCGAGGATTGCATGAAGGACCCTCTTATTTTTTCCAGAAGTCTCAAACTGCTGATTTCTTGTTGTTGTTGCAATACTTTTTAACACCTCTATGTTGAAGACTGTACCCTAGACAATGTAAATTTTGCCTTTGTTTGAGATACTTGAAACATGACAATCAATGTTCTCACGGTCACTGCTACATATATCAATGATACAAGGTGACCTATGAAAATATCATCCAGGCACATCTGTTAGCCAGCCAACAGCAGACCTTCAGCATCAGCACCGAGCAGGTTGCCATGGATACAGGCTGTGTGTCAGAAGATGAGCTGGATGAGGAGGAAGAGGAGGAGGAGGACAGTGACATGCCCTGTAGGTACCACAGGCTGGGGGAGAGGGGTAGTGACGTGTCCTGTAGGTACCACAGGCTGGGGGAGAGGGGTAGTGACGTGTCCTGTAGGTACCACAGGCTGGTGGGGGGGGGTAGTGATGTGCCCTGTAGGTACCACAGGCTGGGGGAGGGGATAGTGACGTGTCCTGTAGGTACCACAGGCTGGGGGATTAACTTACACTGCTGTGGATTATCAGGGAGTGGTACATGTAATGTTGGAACAGTCAGTGACTGTCAGTGATATCCAAATTTAAAGAAAGAAGAATTAAATACCAGTAGTCAATATACATGTGCTAACAATGGGCCTTATTATTATCATCTATATTAAACATGTATATTCAAAAACAAAAAACAATATTCCATGCATTCCAAAGTAATGAATTAGGCAACAGGTGAACTCCATTCTGGAATGGTGCTATTTCTAGCCAGATGTAACTATTCTGTACACTAGTACTATGAATTTTATGTTCTCCATATAGTGCTATGTATTTTATGTTCTTTATCTGAATTGCATCTCACAAACTAGTAGAGGGTGCTTTCCTCTCACTGTAGCCACTAATACATGCCAGACTTACAACCAACGGACAAAGCACCTTGTCTCGTAGGAACTCGACTAACAGCTATTTCTTTCTCTTCTCTCCTCTACATGCATTTATAGCATCTCCATTTACCCCACGGGACATTCCAACCAGTCCAACAGGGGTGGGCAGCTGGACACTCCATAAGGGGAGCCCCTCCAGCCCCCCTGTGGTTACTGAATGGACTTTCCCCAGGGGTAGTCCATCGAGCTTTAGTCTGGGTAGTCCATTCTCGCCTTATAAGGGTAGCTCGTCTGCCCCCACTACTAAGGGTAGTCCCTCGGCAACTCGCAGGGGTAGCCCAAAGACCCTGCCTCGGGGGTGGGGCAGGCCTCTGTCCTTTCCCGAGAGCATCACCAGCTTCTTTAGCCATGGTGGGTACAACACTGGCAGGAGCGGCAAGCTTCAAACTGTACAACATCTGTGACAGTAGAAACAGTGGTAGATGATAGCAAAGTTGAAAACAACACTCTTTTGTTCATAGTTCAACTATGGTAGCCCTTGTTCGGCTGTAAATCCTTTCCATCCCTGTGAATCTACATTGGCGTGCATTTTCTCTTATTGAAAATGCTTCCCAAGTTCTCAAGGGGTTTGATATATTATAACATAGCACTTGAAAGTTTAATTAATTTGCCATACTTGAATCTATGAACAAGGTACAAAAATTTTTTTAATGTTTGACTGTATCTGAACGTGAATATTTCTGACTTGTATCACCCAAAAGTTGTGGGTAATGTTTTTGAAGTTCTACAGTTTGAAGAGAGCCCGATCCATCTTGCTCGTGATTGGGCAGACATCACTTCAGCTTGCACCTCTTATAATACGGCTTTAATCACCTCTAGCTGCCTATCACTGCTTCATTGTGCCAAGTCTGCTCTACTTGGTGTTTTCTGGGTGCTTGACATCTTCCTGCATGAATCCTGGATAATTCTGCTGTGTCCTGCACTTGTGTGCACTCTCACAAATCATCAATGATGCACCATGCGTTCACAGTCTTGTTTTGTATGCTGCGAGATGTTTCACAATACTAAACCATGCACTTCTGAATCCAATGGAATCAGTTAGAAGCCTTGCCATGCCAGGAAATCATGTGTGAACTGTGCCGTTTCACATGGAATTGCACATTGATCAATGGTTTGAAATGAAATCATACAATTCTAGTCTCTACCAGACATCAGTAGGTTGCTGGAAAAATAGTAGAAATTGGCCAAATGGGCATAATATGTTGTTCAGTCTATTTGTCCAATTTCTACTATTTTCCAGCAAGCAGTTGGAGTCTGTTAGAGACAAAAAAATCAGCTGCAAATCATGCAACATGCCATCAACTCAAGTACAAAATCTTGCACCCAGCCATGAAATGAAACAGAGGTAATGCACTGTGGATGGAGTTTAGTAAATCTTCACATAAACCTCTTGTGTAAAGAGATGCGTTGAGTGAAATGGTGTGTGCTAACACGTTACTATGTAGATGCCGAGGAGGTCTCACAGCTGCGGACGAAAAGCGACCCGAGCAGTCGTGACAGCTCACGGCGGCACACGTTCCTGGTGGACAACCAGCCCATCGTGGTCCCGAAGGAGGAGAAAGAAACCAGCCAGGTGGCCCCGGAGCTGTCTGATCTGGTGCCGTACCTCCAGGCTGTCAAGTTCAGGGGTGGGCCTTGTCTAGAATTCTTGTATTCACGTATAAACTGTCTTATTCTTTTAAGAGTTCAAGTTTTGTGTGTTGATGGTTATGAGTACAGGCAAACACTATATGCTTGTTATATGATCACAGTCCGTATAGTAATAAACCTTGTACCAGATCTTTGGCCTTTTTTTTGGTACCAGTAATACTGATTTACTCATTAAGAGGATTTTTCTTTTCCGTAATTTTTTGTGTATTGGAAAGACTTTGACATTGGTACCAATGAGCACAGATGTAGTTTACCTGCATATTAAATGGTGACAAGAAACAAAAATCATGAGGCTCTTGTTATGTACCTAACTTGTTTTGTGGGCATTGCTGTTGAGCCAAGCAACAAATAGTTTCAGTCATCCTCAGGTTGGTCAGGTTTTTTAGGCATACTAGGGTTGGTGGCCGCGGAGCTTCTAATGTGTTTCATCAACATTTGATCAGAAAATACCCCCCCCCCCAAACAAAAAATACGACCGATCCTGGAACCCATGCAAAGGATGCTACCAATAGATAATCATGATAAACTTATTTTGTATCCAGGGTTTCCTTCAGAGCAGTCCAGCCTGAAGAGAGAGCGCGCCTCCACGCGCAAGTCCGGTAGTGTTTCCCACGACGCGCGGAAGTCCAGCCTCCCCCGCGAGCTGGACCGGCGTCCGTCCGGGGAGCGTGACTCGGCACAGCTCAACATCAGCTCCATCATGAGGACCCCCAAGTGCTACCACATCTCCTCCATCAATGAGAACACGGGGAAGGCACAAGTCAGGAAACACCCCAGCAAGCTCATCACATATCCTTTGTGTGCATGGCCTCGCACAGTCAAGAGGACAATAGTGTTGTGTAATTCTAGTATTATCCAAAAATTTGTGTATAACCTGTACATAAATGTATCAGTTTCTAAGAAGAGAATGTATTGCTTTTGGATGGTGATGATAGAATGATAGATAAAGTTCTGTCCTCTGTATGGCCATTGGCAATTTCACATGCAGTTACCCTCAAAGTTTCATGAGACTGTGAGTGCAGACTTCACAATGAAGGAAAGTGGCAACTTCTCATGTTCAATCTGCTCAATCTGAAGATCTATCTGTAAGCTTTTGTCCTCCCTATAATCAACTGCCTGTAATATTAAGTTCAAAACTAAACATTACACGTCATCCTCTGCTATATCCCTTGACCTTGCCCACTCATACCGAGAAGCAGCTGCTCAGAACCTATCCTGCAGGGACCCGTTTCGACTCGTCTAACCCCAACCCCATGCCCTTCTGGCTGCACGGACTTCAACTAGTGGCCCTCAACTACCAGACAGATGGTACCAGTAACTTTAACATGTCTTTATGCAATATATCACAGTAATGCCAAAGTCCATTTGTGTTGGTACAGTACAAAACAAAAATGATCAAAGTATTGAGATATTGTCAGTCTCCTGGTCAGGGAGACCAGTTGTTTGGTTAAAAACTTCAACAGGATTTTACGTTGAATCTTCAACCAAAACATCACTTTGTTGATCCAAGGCAAAGCATTGAGAAAGTAGCATAAAACAACAAACTTCTCCATTTCTTATGTTGAATGTTTTGATTTATTTCCTTTTATGTAATACAGTTATTGTAGATCATATCATCATCCCTATCCTGTAAGAAAGAGTCTACCAGATTAACAGACTTCTTATATGTTTTTTTAAATCTCTTCCTTGTGTTTTCCCTCAGATGTCCCCATGCACCTGAACTATGCGATGTTCCAGCAGAACGGAGGGTGTGGCTTTGTCCTGAAGCCCCGTGTCATGTGGGACCCCGCCCACCCGTCCTACCGGCGCTTCTGCCCCATGGATAAGGATAGGTGTGGCATGCAGCCGCTCGGCCTGGAAATCACGGTAAGAACAACAACAACAATTTGCAGCTTCCAACACTTTCAGGCTCCAAAATGCAAAACAAACATTTGAGTACTGGCCAATCTACCTTTTGAACAAACTATAACAATATTTCCATTAAATCCGACTGTTAAAAGCCATCTGCCAACTGTTCAAATGATGTTCCGTGACTAGTTCCTTTCATTTGTACATAGTAGACTATGTTCCTTTCATTTGTACAAAATGTAAATATTGTTTTGTGGTAAATGTTTGTTTTTTTACCATGTTATCTGTTAGGGTATGATAAACCCAGGGTGTCCTCTCCCTCAGATGTAAAGAAACTGTCTGTTGTCCCTTCCAGGTGCTGTCAGGTCAGTATGTGTGTCCCTCCAGCCTCCAGGGCAGCCCCGTGGTGGAGGTAGAAGTCATCGGTATCCCGGCCGACTGTGTCAAACACAGGACCAAGACTGTCCACAGGAACGCTGTCAACCCTCTCTGGGCAGAGACCTTAAAATTCCAGGTCAGCTGTTTAACACTTCACAACACTTAAAATGTCAATCATGGACTCTTAAAATGTGATTAAGAAGTCCATCCTAGTCCTAGCAGAAGACTTTTCAAGCACACTGATGGACAGAGCTGGCTGGAGGGAGGAGTTCTGGATCAGACAAGCACGATGTGATTCTGATGATAAAGAAGTCCATTGTAAGACATTTCCATGGTCCTATATGTCTTAAGATTCCTGTCACTGGTTCTTCATGTGAAATAAGTGCCACTACTGCCACTTCCCTTATGCTGAAATCTTCAACAGCAGTCATTGGGTACTGTCCTTGGTGCTGATACAGTAGTTACTTGAAGTCAGGAATTCCCATACACACACAAAGATTTTAAAGGTGTTGATGAACAATCCTACACAAGTGTTGCAATTCTTACAGTTCTTTGCTTTCTTCTGTCCAGGTGACCTTCCCAGAGTTGACCTTTGTGAGGTTCACTGTCACTGATGTTATGTCATCATCATCATCACCAGGGGCCCAGAGGATCATTCCATTCACGAGCCTTGCAAGGGGTGAGTAGGATAGTGGCGAAAGTCCGGAATCCCTTCTGTTGTCTTGATAGTTTTTGGATAAACCTGTTCAACTACAAATCCCATTCTTTAGCCACTGTGCATTCTGCTTGAGACATCTGACAGTTTTCAAAATCTTTCCAGTTGCTTGAGTAACAGTTTATCTCATCACCTGGATGTCTAACCTTTGTCACACCCCTTTTCTTGCTAAACCAAAGTAGAAACCCTATTCAGCCTTAGAAGAGCCACGTTGAATCGTTTGTTTGTTTGTTTTTTCTCAGGTTACCGTCACGTTTGGCTGCACTCCCCCCAGGACCGCCCCCTAGAGCTGAGCACCCTGTTTATAAAAACTGATGTCAGCTTTCCAGATGGGTGTGAGGATCAACAAGGGGGACAGGTGAAGTGGCATTCATTGTTTTTTGCTTCCCAGTTTATAGAGGTAAACCCCAAGAAGACCCCCAAACTGAGATATCCTTGTTAGATCATCATGGCATCTATTGCTTTATAACAAATGCGTGTCATTTACCATTCCTCAGTTGTTATAATTGAATTACCTTAAGTTACATAGTTGGGTTTATAAACATGTGATTATTACTATTTCATGTAGTATATTTAATGATAATTATTACTTCCCTGTTACAGGTGTGTGTTTATGGAGCTGTGCCTTCAGAGCCGTTCAGTGTCTTTCATGTGGACAGGGAGAGCACAGCATATGACATTGTCAAACAGGTGTGGAACAAACATCATTGCAAACAGATAGATATGCTTAAAGGAACAGTCCTTTGGTATGGCAAATTTTACAGTATTATACCTGTTACCATGTGTTTCTGTATCTGTATAGCCAGTATTACCACATGTACAGTTTGGCGCAACACATCAGCTTTGCAGGCACTTGGCATGGTGGAAGCTGGCCTTATTACTCCAAATGACCTGTTACACCTAAGCTTTGAACATCTAACTCTAAACATTGTTTAAAGCTACCTAGTTATGATGTCTCTATTGTACTTGGTAGCAGTGAGTTCCAGTGTGAGTTGTGGATTTCATAGTCTTGTTGGAACATGGACCATATTTTGGTAACATTTTAGTAGTAACTTAAAAATAAATGAACACTTACAGCAAAAACAGACCATATTCTTGTGTCCTTTAGGCTTTACAGAGAGCCAGTCGACCCCCTGCCGACATCCAAAATGTTGTCCTCGAGGAGACAGTCATTAAACCAGAGGGGAGGCAAATACCAAGCAGGAAGTAGCAGGGCAACAGAGTAAAGGTAACGGCGCCACCCAGCAGGTGCAGAGAGTACTGCACATGGAGGAGCGGCTACTGGCATGTCAGGACAAGTGGGCAGGTGTGGGGAGATTCAGCATGATACAGAGGAAACAGGTGGGTTGTAGTCCAGCTAGCATGTCCATAGAACGTACTGTGGCTGCACAAATGCTGGATTTTTTCATGGGTTTTATTAGATCAACGTTGCATCAGAATTTTGCAGCAGCAACGTTGCATCAGAATTTTGACTCTTGCAGACAACATTTGTAAACTAGAGTTCCCCGATCTCATACCTTCGCCAAATGATGTTAATCTTTATGACTGATCATGACAAATTATAGATTAGATTATTCCCCCT